TACTCACAGCTAAGGAACTCATTCCATTCATTGAGGACGTAGGGCTTAGCAGTGAACTATAGACATAGCAGCAATCACAATAGATCTTTGAGGTCGCAGTGATACTGGTATCTGTAGACCTGCATAGCTGCTCGTACATAATAGAAAAAAATAGGAGAGGCCTATATTCTTCTGCAGTAGACTCTTGAAAGGTTATAATAATGATGATGATGATGATAGTTGTCAGGGTTCGTAGAAAAATACTCTACTTGTGAGTTTTTTTTCCACGTACTCGAACTAGCGAAATGTTAACGCTTCGTAGACTTCTGAACCTCTAGCCTCTCCTTGAGTAAGGGTAAATATATAAACCATGCCAGCGTATTATGGCTACTGCAAAGTTGAACAACTTTATCAAGTAACGACCACACGCTTGCTCAGAAATTCAGCATTATCCTGCTATTTCTCTGCCGCCACTGTGTCTCGTAAAACCGGAGACTTTAATGGTAATAATTAATTCTATCTTAGTCTCTAGACACTATATCTGCATTTTGATTCCTAATCGAGGATAGACAAGTGGATAGTCTATGAACCGTAGCATCTAGTTATTATTAGGTGGACTATATGCTCATTTGTCACCCTGAATTACTAATAATATAATTTAAAAGGGGATGCATTAAATATTATGATTTCCAAAATACTTGATCTATATAGACTATCAATGAAAAGTATAAAGAGCTATCTAGCTTTTAGTACTGCAAACAGCAATTCAGCTCTCCTCAGTTTAAAAAAGGTCCACATGCCGCATCAAAATAAGTCAATTATAACGAATCTCTATTCATTACTTAAGATTAGAACAAAAATTAAACTACTTACTTTTTAATATAGTACTTGACAGTGTAAATAACAGGATGAAAAACATGTTAAATTAAACGATAATAAATACGAGATAACATAAAAAACATAAAAACATAACATAAACACTCACGCCTGTCACCCAGAGGGGTAGGCAGAGACTACGGACTTCCATTTGGCGCGATCCTGACACACCTCTCTCGCCTCTTTCACATCCATATATCTACGCATACACGCTCGTCGGTTAAGGGTACTCCTAATCTGGCCCATTTTCAATGTATCGCCGATCTGGTCGATAAACCTTCGTCTAGGGCGTCCCTTCCCGACCCTGCCGTTCACTTCTGCAACATAAATTTGCTTTGTCACTCTTTCCTCGTTCATTCTTTCTACGTGACCATACATAATAAATTAGAAAAAAATCGAGAACACGTAGCGTCTACCAGACTCTTTCCTGCTCCAAAATCCTCTCATTTATGAGAGCACCTCCCAGAATTATGCCCGGCGTATGAATATCGTAAGCGTAATTTTATTCTCTATGAGCATAATTATGTTTATATATTAGTGTGTCACTGCATATTTGTCTTCCAAAATCTCTATCACCAAAAAACATTTTTCTTTTGTTTAAAAAATATGAAAGTATTCTCTTTGACATTAGCTTCTCTCTCATTGTCATACCGTAACAGTTCACTACTGGCCATATGTTTATTCCTATACAGTACTAGCCTATAAGCCTCTAGACAAACCAGCCAGCCTTGTTTGTGTTGAAGTTTCGTAATTGTCGACTTTCTCTGAAAATCCTTTAGTATAAAACGGTATTATATTAAATACTGAAATATTATAAGATTCCGCTCGTACTTCAGGATCGGTAACGACCGGTGTCAGACGAGTTATCGATGGCCTTTAAGTATTATTTATGGACGTCTCTAGAATGGCCAATATTCTTTTTATTGACGATTCTGCTATTTGCACAAATGCTGCTGTCTACTTGTGATTTATAATAGTTTAATCTCTCTAAGCTTTTTGTCCACAGTGTTTTGATAAATGATATATTAAAGTGATTTCTATTTGGATTTTATGGTTTAAATTTATTGAAGTATTATTTCTAAAATGTAAGTGAGTATTACAATTTGAATAAACCCATTTTTAAGGGTTTTGTGTTTATTAACTTATTTAATTCCCGGCGTTCCGACTCTTTTTGCAGCATCAATTTTACGGGCTGAGTAAGGTGTCTGATGTCATGATATCATAGTTTTCATACGAACCAACGGCGACATAGTAGATTCTAGATCTATATAGGCTATGCGGTCATCTTAGATACTCGTACATATTACGTGGTAACTAAGCCAAAATGTATTATTGTGCAAATGCCATGAGACATATTGACACATACACAAATGGGCCTGATCGACTAAACCACGACTGTGGTTTCTCACTATAGCTGTAATATAATAAATATTTTTCCATTATCGCGTAACGTTACGGTCGTGTCTAATAACACTAATTACTGTTACAAACCTGCAGTGTCGGTGTAAGAGCATCATATCTTCCCGCGGGCGTCGTAAGAGGCGACAGAGGGAAACTGAAACGGGAGATGGGCAGCGTCTTCCTGATAATAACTCCAAATATTTAAAAAACCTGTTAACCAAGCGTGGCAACTATAGCAAAATCCTCCTCCAGACAAACCTTGGTGAAGGAGATTATTTTAACCTAAGTATTCTTGATCTGATTTATTCAAAAAGTAAATATATTAATCAAAGAAAGTAATAAAAAAAGACAATAAAATATATTAAGTAGAATACCTATTCAAATAACCATTTCTAATATTTTTTGAAAGACTCAATCTTTTAAGCTTTCTTAGTTGTAAATGGAATTTTGAGTTGAGAGCAGGCATTCGTAAAATTAGGTTATCAGCTAATCTGGAATGATATTTATCTGCGCTCAAGAAATCAAATATAAAGGTAAAATGAATTTATTTTTATCTTTGATTTTATAAATAACTGAAGTAAGTTTTTTTTGTTTTAGATGACATAGAAATCAAAACTTAAATTTTCTTCCACTGACTGGTTGTTTAAAAATATTGGATATTCTTTAAGCCAGTTATAAAGTAATTTGATAACAAAAGAAGTCAGATAGATAAACGAAAGTAACAAAGAGAAGATATATCAATTTTACCTTTAAATGGCTTCTAAAGTTTAGGTGCGTTAGCTAAAAATAGATACAACTGCGAATATATATTGACCTAACGACAATTTGCTTTGAATACGGGTACATTCTTGCTAAAAGCTTTTTTCAGACTCGGAGTATATTGATACAAACGACGCCCGTCGGCGAATCGAACATAGGATATAAATCAAGTGTAATCGAGTCCTGGAATGAGATACGCTGGTATCTTGCGCAGATTAAAAAAGGTAAATTGTTCTTACGAGTTTTATGCAACCACTGATAATTTTGTATTTTTTTAATATAACATCATCATCATCATCATCACAGCCCTTCACAAGTCCACTGCTGAACATAGGCCTCCCCCAAAAAATTCCACAAAGCACGGTCCTAAGTGCATGTGCACTTACTGTATGTTTTACCAGGTCGTAAATCAATCTAATGGGGGGCAGGCTACCATTCCCCTATAGGTACGATGATTTTTTTATTTTATCAACAGCTGTTTCGAATTTTTCTAAAAAAGCAACATTACTTTAGTATACTAAATTAGCAATGAGCTGGCCATATAGCTTTAAGAACAGTCAGCCGATAAAGAAAAAACCCGTAGTAGTGATCCAAAGATTGTAGCTGTAGCTTAAGACCATGCTTGTGGCAGTCGTTTGGGTAAGGAGACTAATAGTATAAACTAATGCAGTTATTTTTGAAAATGCAATCGAAATATGTAGACCAAGGAGCAGCTTCTAAGATCCTGCACACTTGGTATTTATTACAATATTCGTTGGAAGCCTACCTTTAATATTGTAATAAATCGAAAAGCCTATCGAAAATCCAGTAATATATATAATACCAGCTGCTTTATCGAAATTAGAATGATATCTAAAATCACTTTACCCCACGACATGGTCCGCATGGAATTTATTACGACTAGATATCATGGCTTTTAATTTATTTTGCGCGGAACCATTATTATTTTTCTATAATAAAAGTATTCTGAGTAACTCCTTATAATATCAGCTATCTATCAGTGAAAGTCCCATCAAAATCCGTCCAGTTGTTTTGGAGATTAGCCGGAACAAACATACAGACAGACAAAAAATTTAAAAATTGTTTTTTGTTTTAAGTACCATATATACTGTCATAATATGTATTTAGTAAAAATCTGTTATTTAGACAATACAAACAGTCACTTCAATTTTATTTATTTTTATAGATTGCACTCAAATAAATAAAAAATACAAATATGTATTTTGTTTTCCAAATCAATGAAATGTGAATTGTGCGACTGTATTAAAAAGAAGGAGGAAAATAGATTTTTACTTTTTTTAAAAGGATATTAGCAGTGTTATTAACAATACTAATATCTCTCTTTAACCACTCGAACTAAGCTATGTTTATATAGGGGGATGAGGCTGCTCGCGTCCGTAGGAATTACTTGAATCCTGATTCCCTACACGTAACCCCTGGGTAGTGATAAACGAGCAGTACTACATACTGGTGGTAGGTTGGTCCTCTACTAGTGAGAGGCCCGGCCGAGTGTTAGTTACCACCCACCTGGCAAAGACATACCGCCAAATGATGCAAATCGTGTTCCGGTATGATGTTAGGTGAAACCCATTTCTTAGGGAGAATGGGTCTGGACAGTTGCGTTACGCATACGGACCGGTTGCGACGCAGCCGTTTCTTAGTGTCAAGTGCCTGGTTATGGAGGTTAGCGGGATCCGAAGCACCGTTGCACCGCTGGCCGACCTTAGATAGTTGGGGGCCCAACTAATGAGCCAGCCACTCATGAAAGGCTGCCCCGCCATCTTACGAAAAATCCTGGGATGGCTCCACCATGCCGGATGGCGACCGGAGGAGAGGGCCTGGTGGCGATTTCCAGGGGGGTTCGGGCGTCCCCACGCTCTCCATGCTAGGTACCATCGATGCTGTGACTCTGTTTGCGTCCCTAGGTTATATGTGTGACGCCTCGTCCAACTGCCATTTTCTCAACCTATTCACTCCCACTATTAATGAAAAAAAGGAAAAAGAAGAGTAAGTTTGTACAGTGGTTGCACTCCCTCTCCATTAAAGTGCACCTCACAAACAGCCGAGGCCTGCACTGTAATCTCAATGCAGTCCATTACCACCTTGAGACTGACAAGGCGCACTTACTCTTCTTGACTGAGACGCAGATCAGATGTCCTCTAGATGCGGCGTACCTTGGCTACCCTGGGTACACATTGGAGCATAATTTCCATCAGCGCGCCGGAGTCTGTGTTTACGTCCGCAACGACATCTGCTGTAAGCTTCTCCGTCACCCTGAAGACCCTACTTTCTCTACGATCTGGGTATTGATAGACACAGGAATGGATAAAATTATTTATTCTTGTGTCTACCGATCGCACAGCGGCGACCAGCCGAGCTATTCACAATCGTCTCGGAAAGCGAAATCGACTCGGATTTGATAACTTCTCGCACCGAAACCAATAAACGCTATTCACATTTAACGTTCGGATAAAGGTCACTTAGATACATCCCATAACTATTGTATCGTCATTTAGTTACATGCATTTACGAATTTTGTAGATAAATAGGCATTTTGTATTTTTTTAGAGTAACGCCTTAACAAAAACATAAGGCAATATTTTGGTGTTAGCCATTGATTTCGAATACAAAAAATATATATTTTAACTACATAATAAATAACAAAAAAACTGAGAATAAATCGGCCCTAAAGCACAGTATGCTTTTCTGGGGGACTCTAATGCCTGTCATCAGGACTGGCTGTTCCCATACCAGAAGACCGACCACGCTGGGAGAGAGGCGTGGAATTTTGCCTTGTCGCTGGAGCTCTCCCAGCTGGTACAACAAGCGACTAGGGTCCCTGATGTGGATGGGCACACAGCCAACTGCCTCGACCTTCTGCTGACGACCGATCCAAATAGGTACGATGTTCAGGTTACCTCACCATTGGGAACTTCTGACCACTATCTGGTGAAATCTGTATTGCGATATTCCCCACCTAACTACGATTTCCACGGAGTGCGACGAATGTGGCGATACAAGTCAGCAGATTGGGATGAGATGCGGCATTTCTTTGCATCTTATCCTTGGCGGCAGGTCTGCTTCTCCTCTGGAGACCCATCGAGCTGCGCGGATGCCATAACCAATGTGATACGTCAAGCGATGGAGTATTTTATCCCCTTTGCTGACGTGCCCATTGGTGGTAAAGCTCGCCCTTGGTTTAACGCCGAGTGCGCTCGTGCTGAAAAGCACAAGCATATAGCGTACTTATTCTGGATCGATGCTCGAGACCGTAAAGCTTCGGATGTTAGCCTTAAGAAGAGAGCCTTTAACCAAGCCGCCAAGTTGTGCAGAAAGGCATTACGCCAAGCCAGTTTCGACCGCATTAAACGCATCGGCACAAAGCTCTCTGTCAAACCATCTGGCAGTAGAGGTTTTTGGTCTCTTGCTAAAGCGGTCGAGACAAATTTCTGTCGGTCAACACTGCCGCCGCTGGTAAAGCCAGATGGCTCAATGGCGCATGCGCCTAAGGAGAAAGCGGACTTATTTGCTTCTCTTTTTGCTTGCAATTCGCGTCTGGACAGTAGCAACAGCGTACCATCTCAATTACCTCACTGCGGTACCTCTATGTCTGAGGTCCGTATCACCAACAAGGAGATCCTTAAAACCTTGCGAAGTCTAGACGTGAACAAAGCTAGTGGACCTGATGGTATACCAGTTATAGTTCTAAAGGTCTGTACACCTGAGTTGTCTCCAGTGTTGACACGCTTGTTCCGCCTCTCATTCAGGACTGGAATAGTGCCTAAATCTTGGAAGCTGGCCAATGTGCAGCCTGTGCCTAAAAAAGGTAGCCGTACTGACCCTGCCAACTATAGGCCAATTTCAATTACCTCCATACTCTGCAAGATTATGGAGCGTATATTGAACGCCCACCTCATGGCATACCTAGAGCAAAATGATCTCCTCTGTGATCGCCAGTACGGGTTTCGCCGAAATCGATCAACTGGGGACCTTCTAGCTTATGCCACTCACATATGGGGCGAAGCCCTCGAGAACAGTGGTGGAGCACTTACTGTTTCCCTCGATGTTTCGAAGGCTTTTGACTGGGTTTGGCACGCTAGTCTATTGGGCAAGCTTTCAGCGTACGGCTTATCCCCTGGCCTAATTGTCTGGATGAAGGACTTTCTGAGTGAACGGTCTCTCCGGGTCGTCGTTGATGGCTGCTCATCCGATACTGTGGCGACTAACGCCGGTGTTCCTCAGGGGTCCGTTCTCTCCGCAACTCTCTTCCTGCTGCATATAAATGATCTGCTCATTCCCGGTGTCTATGGGTATGCAGACGACAGCACAGTTGTGGAGAGATACCAACCAAGCGCCCGGGCCAGTCGGGATCAAATCCAGTCAGAAAGAGAGGCTATGGTTGAGCGTGTGAGTTTCACACTACAGGCAGTCTCCGAATGGGGCGATGCCAAACTCGTGAGATTTAACGCCTCCAACACACAAGCGTGTCTTTTTACCGCTAAAAGGAGCCCGGTCACCTTGGCTCCTACTTTCCGGAATGTATCCTTGGAGTACACTGACCGCCTTCAGTTGTTAGGGAATGAATTTTCTCCGAACCTAAACTATGGGAAACTTGGTGTCTTTGCAAGGGTGCGGCGGTATTTCACGCCGGGCCAACTTCTTACCTTATATAAAGCGCAAGTCCGGTCGTGCATGGAGTACTGCTGTCACATATGGGCTGGTGCTGCAAAATGCCACCTGGCAGCATTGAGTGGAGAGACGGGCTAAGAGGCTCATCAAGGCAAGAGTGAATAGGCTTTTGTTACGATAAGACAGTGCGATTTACCATCTAAGGCTGCATCACCACTTACCACCAGGTGGGATTGTGGTCAAGCACTGGCTTTTAATAAGTAAAAAAAAATCTTTATATCTTAATTTTTAGGAGTGGTTCACGACAGTTGTAGTCAAATGGCGGATTCGATAGCACGATTTTTAAATACTGCAAACATCTCTGTTTGTGCAAAGACATAAAACAGTTGAGTGAACTGGAACCGGCTGCTTAGAAAATGAATTTCATAATTATTGTTTCTGGGTTGCATCGATAAATCAAATTGGGAGATATGACTTCATAGTGCGTTTTGGAGCTTTGATTTCTCACAATCTCACAAACCTATAACCATATTTTTAATAATAGTTTACATTTGCTATAATTATCATTTACTTAAATTATCCTTAATTCAATTGCTAAAATATCGATAATATCGCGTTGGTACAGGCGATATACCGATCATAAATATTAGAAACGTTACGGAGGTTCGATTCCGATTCCAACAGTTCGGAACTTCCGATTGATTTTGCACCTCCGATTCCGATTTCGGTTCCGTTAAATTTTAATCGGAAGTTATATATCGGAGGTCGATGCACAGTGGTGGCGGCGGCCGCGATCAGCGTGTACAAACAATTTTATACTTGTTGCCCCAGGAACCTCCATCCATAGACAGAAGGCATTCTGTCGATTACTCTTTAACTTGATGTTTTGTTTCGTTGTTGGCAATTGGCATGTTGTGCATTCGTGCTTCATTTATACCTATCCGAGTTTTTGATTAATTTTAGTAGTGTTTTATTTGACGTTTAACAAATTTATTTGAATTCGACAATGAAGCCAAAATCAAGTGCCATTTGGAGTTATTTCAATGAAGTTTCTGCTACACATGACATGGCTTGGACCAGTATTATGACTTAATATGTAATTTGGAATCAGTTCCAAGTAATTTTAATTATAAAATGAGACAATAGAAGTAATATCTAGCATTTATAATAATTTAAATCATTTAGAAAGTAGCTTACAAATCCTTAATTGTATGATTCCACAGAGTAATAATATTTTTTTTTTACACCTGGTGCATCAAAATATACAAGGCATGATAGGCAAAGAGCTAGAAATTGAATTGTTCTTAAATAGCAACAGTATTCATATTTTATGTATTACCGAACATTGGTTAAAAGCTTATAACTTAATGTTTAACTTCAGTAATCACCAGGTGGTCAGTCCTTTCGATAGAGAAACGGTTTTAAGAGGTGACTCCTTAATATTAGCTAGTAAATTATTATCATGTAAAGAATGTATCGATATTGTGAGCCTCTCTGTGCAGCGAACTGCAGAAATGGCATGTGTTGAGTTTGAGCTCCTCATTGTTGTAAGTATCTACAGATCCCCATATACGATAGTTTTGAAAAAATTATGGAGGAAGTTTTTGTTAAACCTAATAAGCAGAATAAATCTTATTAAATGAAACGTAACCACGTGTGCTGTAAAGCACCTAAAATGTCGGGAATTAAAAAGTTAAATTAAACGCGATAAAATTCGTAAAAATATAATTTCATTTAATGTGTAGTCTTCGCGTAAGACTGGAAACTTTAATATTAATCTCCTAGAAGCTTTCACCACCAATATTAAATTTAGATAATTGTTTAAGTCATATGGTCTTTTTATTTTATTTTTGAGCCAACGAGTATTGCTCAATCTAGTGCAACATGTATAGATAACATTTTTACAAATGTGAAGCCGTTGCATAAATGTATAATTCAAAAATTAAGTTCGGATCACTGTGGACAATTAGTTTCATTACCTTATGTTCACAAAAAGCAAGTAAATGAGAAAGTTGTGTTTGTTCTAGCAAAAGCAAGCTAAGAAGAAACATAATGTAAAAACGTCGATCACTTTCATACTAAAATGATCAAATTTTTTTTGTATGGAACATTGTTTAAACTTATTTGCAATGAATTTGATAATACATTTACTTCTAAAACATTCTTCTTGAACAGTCGAAAGGCATTCAATTAATGGGCGAGAGTAGGAGTCCATAAGAGCAGACAAAGGTTATGTGATCTTTTCCATGAAAGGTCATATAATCCTAGCGTCGAATTTAGGGAATATGTAAAAAAATATTCAAAAATATTTAAAAGAGTGTCCTCCACAGCCAAGTCTTTGCACATGAGCAACAAAATTAAGATAGCTTCTAATAAAATTAAAATGACATGAAGTATAATTAATAGTGAAACTGATAAGATCAACTCTGGCAATTCAAACTACCAGTTAAGTTTTAACAACAAATTAACTGAATCAAATCAGGACGTTGCAAAAAAAATCTTAACCACTAAGTCACTCAATTCTTCTCCTGCCGTCACCTAATTATTACTTAAACAAAATGTAAATGCGTATACAAAGAATTTTACATTTCATAATGTATCATCAAAAGATACTGTAAAATATTTTAAAACTAATGTTATGAAGAAAACTGCAGATCTGTGGGGGGTTTCCTTTAAAGTTAATGCGTCTATATAATAGATACAATCGCCTCAACTAGCTACCACGCTCTCACAGAATACCAGCGTAAAATAGCAGCTTAACACTGCTGTGATTCGTATGGTGAGTGTAGAG